GGCGAGGAAAGAAAAAAAAGTCCGGCGGCACATCTGGGCTGTAGGGCGGCTGTGGAAGCGTTGGGATGCCGGCCTTGGTCAGGTAGCTGTTCACAAGAAAGGCGGTGTGAGCCGGGGCGTTGTCGTGGTGCAACTTCCAGTCGGCTACGATGTCTTGTCGGACCCGACTGACCCTTCGTTTGAGTCTCCTGAGCATTTTCACGTAAAACTTGTCGTTGATGGTTTGTCCAGGAGGAACACATTCATGGTGGACGTTGCCTTTGATGAAAGAAAAAAGACAATGAGCATCTTTTTCACTTTGGATTTGCTCATTCTTCCCTTTTTTAGGCGAGGAGACGCCGTCGTGTGCCACTCGGAAGATTGCCTCTTTGTCTCGGGATCATACTCAAAGGTCCACGACTCGTCACTTGTGATTACGTTATTCAAAAATTGGGGATCACTTTCAGATATGTTCAAATTTTCTTGGCACACTTCCACTCGCCGCAATTTCTGGTCGTCAGTGAGCACTTTTGGGACCATCTTCGCGCACACCTTGCGCATGTTCAAATGCTATGTCACAATGTCATGAACCACAGATTTTGGCAATTAAACGAATACTTAGTCGACGGTCTGAGTTCAAAACTTTGCGCACACGATTCACATTATCGGTGTTTGTCGAAGTCGAAGGTCTTCCAGCACGGAGCGACCTCTTCCCGGCCCTCCAAAAAGGCCTGGTGCCACCGAAACACACCACTTCTTGCTAAAGCAACACCTGGGTAAGCCTGCTTGATCATATCAAAGGTCTCTGTCGCAGATTTACCGAGTTTCACACAGAATTTAATCGCGTACCTCTGCTCTAACCAACGCTGCATTTTCGGCTTGCACCACTCACAGAAACACGTCGCGAAAATGCCTGTCCTGACCCTCCAAGAGCTCGGAGACAACTGACCAGCCGCTCATTCGTTAGCTAGGAACGCCCTCGGTAGAGAAAATGAGTCCTATTACTTCCGGACAAACCCTGTATTTCTGGTATATTACATATCTTTTCCAATATTACATTTCAAAATTGGTATTTCGTACATCTTTCACAAATATTGAAACCGGCTGTGAAAGACGTCCGACGTTGCCAACTAAGTGGATTTTCCGCTAAATCTAGCGGATGTCAATTTGCGAAAGCAGATTTTTTAACGGAAAACCTAGGTCTTCTCAGCGGAAAAGATCGGTTTTGGAGAAATTGTTTTGCCGAATAGCAATGCTTCTCAACAACACCTATACCTTTTTTTGCCTGTTTTAGTCGTGGGAAGGATTTGTGGCCGTTACCGAAGGTCAGAGCACATATTAGCTAACATATCGTATATACGTGTGACTTTAGAGGAGATACTTCCCATTTAGCGGGTTTTCAGCATACATCCAGCGAATTTATGAATTAAGAGTGCGCGCGTCAAGCCGACGGCATTGGCCATAATGGACTGGCGTCTTCCTGTTTTGTCAAGCTTGGTCTCCTCCGGCTACATTCAAGTCAAGTGCTTGAGTTTTCGTTTGCGAATTTACCAGTGGATTACACAATGCATGTTTGGAATTATGTATCAATATTTACCAAAGTAGCTTGAAACAAATAATGACCAATTAATAATAATAAAATTGATTTTTATTTAAACCGGTAAAAGTAAACTTCAAGTTCCTGATTTTGAATTTCCACACATATCCTATCGATGGAAACTCAGTTTATTATATATATAAAATGGAACTGAAGTAATTCAAGGCAATGATACATAACAATCATTACTGACCTTTAAAAAAATATACTTTGATAAGTCTTCGTGGGCAACTGAAGCATTAGTAATGATTGTTTTCCTACATTCGATTTTGAAACTTTACCTATCAGTTCCACAATAAGTTACATTAATGTAATGTCTTGTAGTGATAGGACAACTGTCACAGATGAGACCGATGGATAGATAGATTAATAAATGACACAACTGCCACAGATGAGATGGGTGAATAGATGGGTGGATAGATGACTCAAGTATTATAGATATGGTTTACATGTGGCGGACATTTTCATATAAATATATACCAAAAAGTAGGAAAATAATGGGAAAAATCCGCAAAAAGGAGGAATGTGGATTCGAGCAGAAAATAGGATAGGTAACCCGAGCGATACGTATTTCTGCTGGTTGGCTTCATCAGGTCCGAAATGAATGCACATATGAAACTACACGTTGTAGTATAAAATGGCAAGGAGACCTCGAATTTTCAAGGAGACATCTAACCACAACCACGCGGCCGATTATAGCCACTTGCTGTGGTACTTCAAGCCCAAAGGATCTACAAATAGAAAATGATCACGTGGAGAATTTATATAACAAAAAGTAGGGCATGTATATCTACTTTTGTAGTTTGAAGTACCACAGCAAGCGGATATAACCGGCCGCGTGGTTGTGCTTAGATGTCTCGAGGTCATCCAGCCATTTTATACTACAATGTGTAGGTTGGCTCTTGTTATGGACTTCGTGTGTCGTTTCTTCCCTCTCCATCTAACCTTTATGGTTGCATATGTGCATTCATTTCGGGCCTGCATTATTTATTGACCTTGTTCATAGTAATTGTCACCACATTCAATACACTTCTCCATCATCCATCAAAACCAGTCCTTAAACCAGCGCTGCCAAGATTCACCCGGGAGTGCGGCACACTCGTTGTCCCAAGCCCTCAGAAGGTCCTCATCGCTAGAAAACCTTTTTTCTTTTAGCTTCATTTTTACATGCGGAAACATTACAAAGTCGGAGGGAGAAAGATCTGGAGTGTAAGGAGGGTCCTCAATAAGTTTCAGTCCAGTAGTGGAGCTGGAACGTTGTCATGGTGGAGATACCATGTGCGCGTTCTTGACTTTAGTTTGGACCGAGAAACTCAGTATGTTTATTCCTTGTGATATGCTCACTGAACGTCTGTTGTCTGTTTACCCGCTCTGTAGATAATATTCTTTAAAATTCGTAAATAAAGCTTCATCTCGGTATTTTTTGTTATTTTTGGCTGTACCTTCCACTCTAGAAATATTGGCGCGTCTTTTTAAGACACCCAAGGGGCCATCGGCAATTAAGCTCTCTTGTAACGTTATGTCAACAGGCTTTGCTCCATGACGCCACCGCACGATGTGCCTGCCAGACAGACCCGCCTAACTCCGGCCTCTCATCTTAACCGTGTCGAAGTTTGTACATCTAGAACAGGCTTATATGATCGCTCCTTTGTCCCTAGGGTATCGAAATTGTTGATCAATCTACCTGAGGAAGCTATTCCCAGACTTATTAACCTTAGGTAGTACAAAAATCGGATGAGCATAGTTTCTTTAACCTCATCATAGCAGCCGCGGTGCCCTGGTATTTGAGCTTCTGCGGCTGCGGTTGCTTCAGTATAAAAAGGATTCCATTAATTAGCCTTACATTTTATATTTAAACGGATTTTACCTCAACTGTTCAAGCCGATTTTTCAGGGTAAGAAATGGATGTTTTGGGTCTAGCCGAGGCTTGAACCGGGTTGATTACTTTCCGTCTCGGATTAGCACTGATTAACGCTGCTAGCAGCCGGCCACCGGCCGAAGTCGCGCGCACGCCAGACGGGCCCCGGAGCGCACATATCGTCGTGCGGCTGGGCTAGAATACCGAGAAAAGTAAGATGCAATCTGCGAGGCTCCATCCTCGGCTTGACCTAAAATATCCGTTTTTTGCCCTTCGGGGAAAACGGTTCTAATCCCACAATTTCGTACAGTCCAAATGATTACGTCATTAAGATGTACAAATAATATCAGTAACGCTGTATCACTGAATTAAGGCTTGCAAGCTCTCTTGCCACTTGAACGGCTAACAAAGGACCCCACAATACGCCTATGGGAAAAGTTGTTTCGGTTAATTTCGCTGAGTATTTTATATGTTATGCGTGTTGACATCACGAACAAATGTTTCAATGGGCACAGACCCCTCAATCTCAACGGGTCCCAAGATATACGCCGTCCAAGATGTATAATGGGATATCGGTGATACTTAAATGGAAGAGTATAATAATGTGGTATAGGATTTACTCGAGTATCTGCTTCAAGACGCAGAGTGGTTCCGGTCAATTTCGCTGAATTTTCCATATGCTATGTGTCTCGGCGACCAGAACAATTTTTTTATTCTTTAATGGGCATAGGCCGCGTAACTCAACGGCTCCCAAGATATAGGCCGTCCAAGTTAGTATTAATGGGGTATCGGCCCTACTCGAATATCTGCTTTAAGTGGAAGAGTGGTTCAGGTTAATTTTTCATACGTTGTGTGTCCCGGCATTCTGAATAAATTCTTAAATGGACACAGTCCCCAAAACATAGGCCGCCCAAATCAGTATAATCGGGTTACGGTTCTACTAGAATATCTGTTTTAGGTGGAAGAGGGGTTTCAGTCAATTTCGCTGAATTTTCCATATGTTATGCGTCTCGAAGTCTTGAACAAATGCCTCGATGGGCATAAGCCCCAAAAACTCAACGGGCCCCAAGATATAGGCCGTCCAGTTTAGGTTAATTTCGCTAAATTTTTCATATGTTGTGTCTCGCATTCTATATACATCCCTTGATAGGCACATGCCTCAAAACTCAACGTGTCTCAAGATGTAGGCCGCCTAAGACAGTGTTTTCAGTCGCTGTATTAATACGCACCTGCTGGATATAATAATCACATGTTTTTCATACATTCGCTGATAAAATAGAAATCGACGATATTTTTCGTATTTACGCTTTAGCAGCTACTACAACTACTCCACGGTATATTACACAAAAAGTCATGGAAAGTCTGTTAGAAATCTCCGGTCGATTTTTGTTCATAGTTCATATGGCGTTGGTTTGGTAATAAACTGAAGATAATCCAATTAAGGATAGAATTTTATGTGGAGTACAGAGTCAGTCTACTTGCCGCAATTTTTTTATGGCTAACATGAAGACAGAATATGCTAAAAAAATTGAGAGCCCTCTATAATTCGTATTGTATTTTTTTAAGGCTGGAATCCCTCTTCATGCTCATAGTGTACCTAATCTACTGTGTAGTACTCCACTTCAATTCGTTTCTGGAGAAATGGGCCCAAACATTACCGGTTCCATTTAAAAAGGTGGTGCCTAACGAACAATCTGGCCTGGTGAGCTACAAGACATTAGAAGACGATGGAAACAAGTATCCTAATTATGGCATTGAAAAGACTCCTGAGGTGCAAGATGCTACCAGTGTAGATCAGGGTAAGTAAGACTAATTTCAAGACAAAGAAATATGCATTAGGGCAGTAATCATATCTCATCATAGCGTTATTTGAACAATATTTATGTTTTGTCTTTATTGGGACTTTTTTTTGTTATTCTTGGATGTAAGTACTTTCTATCCTGAAAATTTGCCATCGCTTTTTCATTCACCCAATATACATGAATCAAGTAGAAAGTAGAAACATGTATAATTTGCGATTTTTATCATACCATGGATGTCCCACCAAATATAAATTAGTACGTTTTACAATTATTATATAATCCATGTCACCTAAGTAGTGCAAGACGCACACTTGTCATTTGTACGCTTCATACGAACTACAGCACTGCTATCTCTATGCTGTCTGAAGCTTCACTGAATGGAGCTCGGGTAGCATGGGTAAGTTCTGCTAAGTATCTCGGTACCACTCTTGACAGGGGGATGATCTGGCAGAAGCACACTGAAGCGTTACAAACCAAATTGTAAATCTCGTTTCGGGAACTCTACCCTATGCTATGAAGAACCGGAAAATTAAGTTTGAACAACAAAGTTCGGCTATACAAGATGATTATTAGACCAGAGATCACTTACGCACGTGCGGCTCAGTATTTGCGTAGTCTGCAGGTTTTGCAGAACAGAGCCTTGCGTACAATCACTAACGCCACATGGTATGTCTCCAATGAGGCCCTTCACAGAGACCTTGACAACCCTTACCTAAGCGACTAAATCAAACAGCAAGCGCAGCTATGTTATAGTCAAGCGGAATCGCATAGCGATCTTTGTTGCGCGAGTCAGTAGACTACACAGTCGAGCAAGTTCGCAAGCAGACAAGGTCGCGGCTCGTATTGTGAACAAAATTAAATCGTACGACTTTATGTCCAACCAAAATTATAATTTTTCTTCAACAGCCAATCTCTAAATGTATGCTAGGATCAATTGAAAATTGCCGAGTGCTAGTTAGCAATGCCGAGACACCCCTCAAATTGGCGCAGTTCTTTCTTCTTTGCTGTCCCTCGTTCCTTCCTTTCTTTCTTCTTCCCTTCTTTCTCCCCGACTTTGTTTGGTATCTGGGTAACCATACCTGAAGGACCCACTCACTTACGAGACTTTAACCAAGAGCAAAGATCCTACGGACCGCTCTGACAGACAATGACCAATAGAGGCACTGCTATGATGATAAAATATATAGAAGTTATAAATAGGAGATACTTGTAAAATAATGTGACCAGTACTCATTCGTCTTCTGTTAAATAAAGTCATCCGTTGTTTGCATAATCATAATTTGCACTGCGAGCAGGATCAACGTACCGAATCGATAACCGTCAGTATTGATTCATGAGTATCGCCCAATCGTGACAGAGAAAATTGTATGTGAAAAGCGACAATTTCAATCGTTTTGACGTCGATCACAAAGAACTTTGAGGGCTGTACAGCGTAGGGCCGTCACCATCGAAGTACCGGGCCGAAATACTTGCTAAGTATTTTGGGAGCTGGCAACGACACATGAGAAAACAACAGGAGTGGACAGGAGCGAGATGCTGGATCCACAGCAGGCAAGCTGTATTGGCCCAAGAAGGTATCTCAGATCTCTCCAAATGGAGCTGCTAGTGCCCAGTGTAGCGTAAACTTTTTACCCCAATTTTCACTATTTTTATACTATCCTTCTACTGATTTACATTTACATATAAACATTATCTATGTGAATTTTTATTGTCCAATTCTGAATTTGATTCTATAATCGAAAATACACCTGTTAGACAAGTTATTTTGACACCCCCACTTCTTAATTTTAATCAGCCAACCATGCTTCTTCAAGATTTACAAATTAAATTTAATGTAGCTAAGAATATGGTACCAGAATATCATGAAGGTCAAAGCGATCTAATTTATGTTTTGGATCATTCAAAAAAGTTTATTGCAGAATTGGTTTCATATGCTTTCCAATATGTCATTTCTCAGCTAAAAAGTGAAGTAAGAGATTTAGTGCATCTAACTAGTCCGAGAACTTGGCCAGATTTAAAATCTGAGTGAAAAGATCATACAAACGAAGAAACACTTCTTACTGCTTTATACACTTCAGTTCAGAAACCTAACCAAAAATACGGAGACTTACCAAGAAACAAGAAATTAAATTCAAGATACAGAGTCTGAAAGAATTTTCAAATTTGGAATAATATGATAATCCTGATCATATTGCTTTTAAATTGAGACACTACGATAGATAGCATTTAGCGCATTTATCTCTGGTTTGAATCAACCATATAGGTCCTATGTAAGACAGCAAAATCCTACGATTGGTTCCTATGCTCAATATTGTCATGATAGTGACAATTTGCAAACACAAGTTGATTACAAAAATTTCTTAAGAATGACTCCATATAAACGACAACAGCCTCAGTCGCAGAATAAAACACAAGTTCCAAATCAAAATTTACAATGGTCTAATTTTAATTATTCTCCAAAGCTCAATCAGTTTAGAGCCCAAAGTTGGTTAGAGCCATAACAAACATTACCAACAGGCCCTATGCAATTACCACCACCAAGAAAAAATTTTAAACCTCATTACCCTGCAAACATTCAAGCTTTCGACGAGTCAGTCCCAAAATTTGACTAATATCAGAAGACTCATCATCAGTATATTTTTAGTTTTCAATTTAATCTTATAATCTTAATCGATACTGGTACATCATCCTCCCTGGGAAATCCAGAAATTGCTTCTAAATATTTTTCAGATCGTGCTTATGATCATCCTTTTGAAATCAATTCATATACGTCCAATTTTAGAGGTCAATATGTTTGTAAAGTTTCCTTATTTTCTGAAAGGAAGAATAAAGCTGAAATTGATTTTTTAATTCTTCCTTGACACTCTCGTTATGATTGCTTGTTAGGATTCTACGATTTACAAAAGCTTAATTGCTCTATTGATTTGACTAAACATCAGATTATTACTGATAAATTTAAGATTACTTATAATACTTCTTATAAGCCAATCCGTTAGGACTTGACAGTCGTACAACTCCTGTGGGCAACTCTGCACATCAACGATAGCTATTCCGTCGACGAAATGGCGGGTTGCAATGTATTCTTCCTTATCGACCGGACTGTTTGAGAAATCACCTTTCCCAAGACTTGATGTCTTTGCTCAGGTCCATCTAAGAAAAGTTTTCTAAAATACCTGCAGCAGAATCTCGAAGCACGGAGGTTACAACACAACCCTGTTCTTCGTTTGTCCAATTGTCGAACTTCGTGGTATTTTCAAACTGGATATGGTATACGTCCCAGGATTGTTTGCCAACGTATGGAAATGGTACTACGCTTCTATGTATGTCGACTGGGATAAGTTTCAGAGATGTCAGATCATTTACACCTTCACTATCATTTCGTAGTCTCTTGTCGATGATTTCTCCTACGTGCCCCTATACCTGCTGTAGCCTCTCTTCAACGTGTTCTTCTACTGAGTTTATTCGCTGCTTGCGCTGCCCTTAGGCTTGCTACTTCAGCTCCTTGACACCTCAGGTCCTCTTTAAACCCTGCTACTGCTTCTTTCTAGCTGTGTTTTGATTCTGCAACTACTTCTTGGCTACGTTTCAGGTTGGAAACTGCTTGCTGATGGGATGTCAATTTCGCAATGGCTTGTTGTTGGCTGGCTTGGAGGTTGGCTATGACTTGTTCCTAGCTGCCTTGCAGGTCAGATTTCAAACTCGCTAGGAATAGTTCTTGCTTCTTCTTGAGTGGTTATCAAAGATGCAATTCTTGGATGGATTTGATGGCTGCACTCACTTATTGGAGCGTCTCTGCATCATAGCGCTCATGTCGGAAATTTTCCGTCTAATTTCTCACTACAAGTCCGTGGATGTACCGATAATCTCACTAATTGTTACGAATGGCCTCATATCGTCACAATTCAAATGATACACACTTCGACTTTTCATGTTTTATTTGTTGGAAGGCTTACAACTCTTTCTAAACCCTAACTTACCCCTACAGACCGCCTTATATATTCTAGTAACAAACATGTAAAGATTAATTCCTAGAAGAATCTAGAGCTGTGCAAACTTCGCGAAACATCTCTATTCGTCATTATATGTCAGAGCGGTCCGTAGGTCCTTTGCACAAAGTTAGAGAATTCGATCGAAAGATCTAGAAATAAACAAAACTGCCAGCTATCTGACAACTAACTGATTGCTAACCTACAATTTGACAACTCATGACCGAGCTTAAACTATAGCCTAACGTACTGTACACAATATGTACCGACCAAAACCACAAAACTATAGTTGCGCTTACATAGCATAGCAATTTTATGTTGCCTAACAATTTCAAGTGTTTGTGTGGCACCCAATTGCACATAAAATTATCTCTCCATGTAGTTTCTTATTCAAGAATATCTATGCATTTACTACAACTAGTTCTATGTCTTCTAGGCATGAAGAATTGGGGTATGGAATGGTCACCAGAGAAGCACCAAGAAAGTAAGTCTAATTGGGCCCGAAGCTCTGTTCATAATCATAACTAAATAGCATATTTATCTTCTAATAGATTTTGCCAATGAACTGAGTGGACCTGATTTGAATCAAGCTACAATCGATGCTTCCCCTAATCCACCTCCACCACCAAAACCTCAACAAGACTACTATAGGCCCAAAGAGTATGACCCTGCTGCTCATAAGGATCCTCTGGTCAAACCAGGTTAGTTCGATTGAATATTAGTGTCAATTTGGCGTTCTTGAAACACTTTTTTAGATATTCTCAGTGACATTAGGAGTGTTACACCCAGAAAAAATAATTTCTTCAACTTGATTTTTTGGCAATGAGGTAGTCTTACATCAAGAATGAAACGGTAACATTCTCACGAAATTTCATTGACAAGTATATGTAATAAGAAACAAATAAATTAATGTGTGGTGCAACCTCGCAGCTGAATACACTTCTGTATACGCCTAGGCATCGACAAAATGAGGTTGTGGCACCTCATTCCAAGCAACTCAAACTTAGTGGATTAGCTGTGCCAGAGTCTGTGGCGGATGGTGCAAAGTGGATAGTATCCTCCCCATCATATCCCACACATGTTCGATGGGATTTAAATCCGCGAAACCGCAAAACCTTAAAGCCTGCTTCTTGGAGAAAGTCCGTAGTACGACGAGCAATATGGGGACGTGCGTTGTCTTGCTGAAAAAGGACGTGTGGACGGCCATCTAGACACGGCAGTAAAGTTGGTTGTAGGACATCGTCAACATAACGCGCAGCAGTCATATTGCCTTGAACAAAGAAAAGGGATGATCGGCTACGATAGGAAATAGCCCCCCAAACCATTTCTCTAACAGTCTTGTGTACATGCCCCTTACCCTTCTACGACCATCGTGCTTACCTAAAATCGCGATTCGTCGCTGAAGATGACACTACGAGTATTCGTGGACGGTATGAAAAAAGTCCTAAGGCTCGAATGCGGCGATAGAGTGTGCGCATAGTAACAGGTCTACCTTCTTCTCCAAACCATTGGTCAACGATATGACGCGTAGTAGCAAAACAGTCTCGTTGTCTGAAGCGCCTTGACGCTCTGTGGTACGCATCGGTGGACCAGTTGGCCTTCTTCGTGTTCCTCTACATTTTTCTATCCACACACGGCACAGACGCATTACCGTCACTGCAGTACAATTAATACGGCGGCCAATTTCGCGGTAGGAAAAACCAACCTCTCGATAGGCAACAATTCTACCCATGTCAAAGTCGCTAACATGGTAATAATTTGGACGTCTTCAAACTCGAGGCATTTTGTTATGCTTGACACTAGTAAATTGAAGGGCAATGACTAAAAATATCTGTACCACTCAGCTCCCAGAAACTGCTTTCTTCACAAAAACCAGAAAATAACATTTTAACAAAGGTAAACAAAAACAAAGTTAAAACTTTGACATTGTCGCTTCAAATAGTCATTATGTTGCCAAAAAACAAGTTGAAGAAACTTTAGGGTTATAAGTTACTGATAATTATCTTCAAAATAGGTTATAAAGTGACCCATTCATTTAAAAAAGTGTTATGGGTTGATCCATTCAAAAACTAAGTAGGAGTGGAACCCTTTGAAAGTTACTACGTATAGTTAAAAAATAATAAGAATCTATGCATATTATAAGAATATCTGGCTTTCGTCGATTCGCACGGCTATTATGTGAAAAACCTAAAAATTGTCAAAAAACCCGACGAAATGTCATCTTGCAGACTAGGTAGTTTTTGGTGTGCAAATAGTTGATTCCATGTTTGCTTGCTATGATCGCTGTTCGCTGATGTTTAAGCAACACGTGCTACAAAACGAAACCACAACAAGTGTACAACAGCTTGTGCTAAGTTATTGTACACTGTTGTAAAAAAAACGACAAAAGTAAAAATCGTACGAAATGTCAAAAAAACCGACGAAATGTCACTTTTTAAGATACGTGACACCCGCGTCGGTCGCAAGCAACAGCAAGCATTTTTGCTAGACTTTCGCTGTAGAGTACCAAGTTGTCGTTTGTGAATAGTACGCCTTTTTCTGACGAATACTGTCTGTTTATGTTCTACGAAAAGCTGAACGAAATATTATGTCCAAAGATACCGGCGACCAAGAACCTTTAGCTAAGAATTCTTCTGCCCTTCTATCGAACTTTTTCCAGAATATTTTTCTTAAATGATAAGTCTGATATTCATACTTTGTAATCTCATACCACACCATAAAACTGTGCTTTTCTCTTCTTCATCGTGTACGGTAATTCTTTCTGATTTTGCATTCAGTTTCATACACGTATCTTTGTTATTTTTCCATACACGTAAGTACATCTTAGAGTTTCCATGCCCACTAATACTTTTTTCTGTCTGTACAATTCTCGATCGTATTTCAGCTTTTATGTTTTCGGGAAAGGTTAACACTGAATGCTAGACTTCAAAAAATCGGCTGGTTATGTGAAAAATGACATCGCCTCATTTTATCATTTCATTTCTTTATTGGTTCAGTCAGATCATCACAGGATGACATAGTACACGTCGATTGAGTAGACTTCATCAGCTTTACTTTATTACTTCCCATGGACTTGCGTGACATAACATGCTCATATTCATAACATAACATTAGTTAGTACCCACAATTATTTGATATATCACCATTCCGCTCGTTCGTAGAAAAACTACACTTTTACGTCTCACGACAATTGGCAAGGAAGTATAAATCGTGAAAAATTTCGAAAATGATATATAGTTTTTGAATGTTACATGACACATTTTCCGTTTTCCTCGGTGTGATCATTCGGTTCCTCCATTATGGCCTGATTACACATAAAGGGTACCGTGGCGAGACAGCTGCATGCTACTTGACAGGGGGTGACTTGGGCGAGTAAGGGTTCACTGAAGCAATTTGAGGTTCATATAGTTTGACCTGTTTGTATGTATATGTGGGACAAATCCTGAATTTTGAACCAGTTAACCCTAACCATTTGGGTTGAAATTTTATACACACGTTTGGTTCACGTTAATACAAAATAAATTGACTTAAGCCATTTGGAATCCAATATAGCGGATGCTACAAGATGGCGATTCATCATTTCCATATTAACCCCTATGATATGGTATTAAATAAAAGGGTTTGGCGAGACACACACAATGGGCAAAGTGACATTATTCTAAATCCAATATCACGGCTGCCGCCATCACAGTCACCCCTACGATAGGGGTATCAAAGATTGCGTTTATATTTGCCATAGTCACCCCTGTATGTTCAAATTAAAAGGACGTATGAGAGATGCATCACAAGTAACGCCATACTAAATCCAATGTGGCAAACTGGCGATTTATAATTTCCGGTGACCCTTATACTATAGTAAAGCGGCGTTATTCTGAATCTAATATGGCAGCCGCCGCTAAATGGCGATTTATAATTTTCATGGTTACCGCTATAATATGGGTATCAAGTAAAAGGGCTTAATGAGAGTACAATAAGCAAATGACTTCATTAAAAATTCCATATGGTGATCGCTGTAAAATATCGATTTATCATATATCGAAATTTTATAATACAAATAAAGAAGTTTTATGGAGTCCTATTAATAAACTGTATAGAAATTACCATACTAGTTATTTGACATCAGAAATACTAAAAAGGATTAATCAATGGTAAAAAAATAAAAAATATCTTTTCAAAAACCAGCTTTTATTTAGCTGTTAATAAATTGAACTATAAATTCGAAAATAATTCCTCCGATTGGAAATATTTAAACGATAATGACTGCTTTCAAACAAAAACGTGTAAGCATTTCGACAACAGGCTTTTATTTGAAAACTTGAGATGCAGGAACTTCATTATCGGTCAAATATTTCCCTTCGAAAAAATTTGTTTTAAATATTTAATTCATCTTATTAACTGCGAAATAAAAGTTTTGTCACAAACATTTATTGTTATACTCAATTTTAACTCAATGAATCGTTTTTTTCAGTTGTATGAATGTCCAATATAGATTGGTTAAAAGCGCAAAACAGATTAAAAAAGAAATAAATAGAACGCCACACATTTTTAGATTCCACTTTCTACAAGCTCTTCCCTGATACAATGTGTCACTCGTTTTTCAGTTATAAGTAATTGTTTGTTAAATACGCTTGACAATCATAGATATAAAAATATTTTGTCAACCATGGAAACAGAAGGCAGGTAGTGGAGCACTATCATACAAAATGTAGGGAAGAGAACATGTAGTATTTTTGGATATAAAGGAGCACACTCTAGAAAATATTAAAGCATTTTTCATTTAAATACTTTAATTTTAAGTTTAATATCAAAGGTATACCTTAGAACTTTCGAGCATATCCATTAATGCAATTGAAATTTAAAATGTATTTTTATGTTTTGATTTAGGCTACTGGCGTCACACTTAATACAATTTTTAGTCAAATTTGTTATCTTAAATTTTTCAGACACGTATTAATTGTTAAACTAATTTAATAACAAATAAAATAAATAAAGTGGATATGAGCAGACAATAGGATAGTTAACCCGAGCAATACGTATTTCTGCTTGTTGGATTTATTAGGCCCGAAATGAATGCACATATACAACTACAAAAGTAGACACACATACCCATACTGATACGGGTGTAAGCTGAGGAAACGCAGACGGAGATTGAACAAAACGACACATGAAGTCTCCAACAAGAGCCAACCTACACATTGTACAGTATATTCAGATAAGAGATAGGCCGGATGTAAACAAAAGGTTCGGGTGATTTTCACGCTAACGCCGCCGTCTCGACGTAAAACAGGAGCCCTCATTGGTCAATTCACAATTAAATGCCTATGCCGAGCGGCAGAGCAGTCGTATCAAGGCAGAGTCACATTCAGGTTCAGACGTGTTACGTATGTCGTGTGCATCATTGCAATTTGATATTTCTTTGGACGTTTTCGTTTGTTATCTTATTAAGTTTTTGAGTTTGTCGTTGTTATTGTTATACCTTGTTATTGATTGTTATTGTTATCAACTGCTTGCGCAAAATGCCCAGTAGTACAGATACTGCCGATGAAGTTGTAAACTTCTGTAGTCCACCTAGGAAACGCTCTAAAAAAAGACACCTGAGTGCAGAAATGAAAGAGGTCATTTTGAATATATATAAGATCGAGCGCGAGGAGAACGAGGCATCAACCATCAAAGAAATTGTTGTGAAGGTTTCTCACAAAGT